AGTGTCAAGGTTTTGGTACCCCATGTTATCTTGATAATTTTAGAGATGATCATAGAATTCTACACCATTGTATGGATTGTTCACCTATTAAATTTCCATCTAGACTTCAATAAAGTTAGTTTTCGATTACTTTAAAAGTAATTCAGTAGAAATCATTTTTATATTCCTCGTAGCTATGCCCATTGAACTAAACAATAGTTCTTATTTCGTTCAGTTCTCTCATGATTTAACATATTACTATAGTGAAAACAAGGAAAAAAATCAATCAGAATACTCAGTCGACATACTATTTCATAAGCTGAATAAAATAAACTTAAAAGATTAATTATTTAAAATGTAATTAATATCAACAGATAGACAACAAGAACGAATAAATAATATATTTGAAAGTTTTGGCTTGATAAGAAACGTATTTGTCATTGAGTAAATGTCAATCCAGTTGAGCTAAATAATCTTTCTATTGAAGCCCTAGTCTTTATGAGCATACGCATTTCCGATTTTTTTTTCAGCTGTTAAATGAGTCAAAATTTTCTGAATGTTTTAATTTAACAATGAGAAATTCTCATTTGAAATATTTACTTGTCTTGATGATGTGCTCATTTGTTTACTTGAATCGAAACCATTCGACCATTCATCTTCTAATAAATGAATTGGACAATTAATTTTTTTTTTGTTAAATATTTACTAGGTTCTGGATTGAATAAACAAGCTTCACTTACTTGTTTCTTTGCTTTATGAAGACCTCTATAGTTTAAACATATATAGATATATTTATTCAATATTAATCAATTAAAAAAAAACGAAAATTTTCAAACGATTTAAGTGCTAAATCTAATAAATTTAGACAACTAGTTGAACGTCAACCTAAATCACTGTCTGAATTTTCAACCAACAATTACTTTAGCTAACTGGTAAAGTTCGTCGGTTGTATTATTTCCATGATGATGAGTACTATCCGCTAATGTTGAAATCGATGATAATGAAGATACGTGTATGACCATCAATTAAACAAAGTATTTCAACTTGTTCAGTTACTTTAATTAGAAGAATTTCATTTGAATAAAAATAGAGATTGTATCAGTGCAACTCGTTGAGGGCTATAATGTAGAACTCACATGTGTTCTTTAGTCTCATTATATGCATACAAAATATCTGAAGTGAAAAATTTTTACCAGATTATAAAGAAATGTATAAGAAATTAAATTCTATCCGTTGTTGCTTTTAAAGTTACTATGATTTTCATATTTTTTTCATCTTTGACTTTCTTTACTTTTTTCGGATGAGTTTCTTTCACCATTTCCTGTAAAGGGTGTGGGTATGGGTTTTTGTCTAGAGAAAACTACTCCACTGTTGAATCGTATCATATCTAAAAACTTCTTCAATATTCGTTTTCTTTTTATTTATACACTTAAAGTCATACAATATATAACTATATAACCTTTAGTGCCAGTTGAGATAACTGCTTTTCTCATAGTTCTCGATAGAGCTCGTTGAGTATGGGTCTGATCTCTTATAGTTGGTACTCTTAAAGTAAAAGTCTATAATGATCACATTCATAAATGATCACTATCAAGATGCCATGAGAAATGTGAAATAAATTATAATGAAAAATATTATGAGTAAGAATTCGGCAAACTTTCAAATTTTCGTGTCGCATGTCTCTAAAACTTACACTTATTCTATTTTTCTTCGAAAAGAAAGACGTAATGTGAGTTCCACAAAAAACAAAAACAGTCAATAATTTTATCATCAATTGTTAATGATGATGGATTAATATCAAATAAACTTTGAATATTCCCCAATTGAATAAGTGGAATATATTTTCATACCGAATGCTTTTCACATATATATTCAAGACAATCGGAGAAAAGAAAACGAGTTAAATGTAGTTGTATTGTCGTTAATTCTTGTTGAAGTTCAATAACTTGAAATTTTTCTATATAATCATCATGTGCAGCAAGAAACTCTGACTAAAATTTAACGAGAATAAAACGTACTTAATACTATCGGAATCATTTTCTTACTCGACAATTATCAATAATATGAACAATATTAAACATTGATAAATGTTTTTCCGTTTTTCTACTTTGTTCATTTAATTTTTTTTTTGCTATTTCACATAATTTACCCAATGAATCAATTAATAATTGATAATCAATATGTTTTATTGATATATTGAAGTAAACGTTGAATAAGTCGTATCATTAAATACAACTCAATATTGTTCACCTAATTCAATGTTATGTTCACGAATCTATTCGAAATAATTTTTATTTTTTACATTATCTATTCAATGAAATAAAATTACATTAAGATAAGCATAAAAACGAGGATTCTTTTTTTTTCATCTAATGTATGAATCGCTTCCATTGTTTTAGCATAAAATTTTCTAAAATCTATTAGAAAAAAATAAAAGTTATATTAAAAATAATATTGAAATTGATTACAAAAAAATAGTTCATTCGAAAATGAAAGTAACGATCTGTATAGATGAGTTAATGTAATACAAGAAAATTCAACTAGTCCATCATTGTTGCAAGTAAAATCCAATAAGTGTCCGACTTCAATCAGATCACAAGAATACAATATGAATGATTAGTTCAGTACAGGGCTGCCAGATCTTCCGAATTTTGAATATTTTTTCGAGACCTGTTATTTCTCTAGATTCAAGATTTAATGACTTTGGTTATAACTTCTAATTTAACTTTCATTAGCAATTCTTGCGCTGTCGTTGTTCTACTGTAATCATTCCATAATACAATTTTGAGACTATTTATAATGTAAGATCGTTTGAGTTTAAAATCTATCCGAACTCAATGAATACTTTGTATTGTTTAAAAAAAATGTCATTTGAATCAATAACTTCTTTGACATGAACTGAACTTTAAGTTTAGAAAAGTGTTTTTTTACATGAAAATTGTCTCTTGTTATCCTGAATTAAATTTAGCCATGAATGATGAAGATGGTAATTCAGATATAAATTTACGCGAGATTGAAGAAAGAAATAAGTATATCGGCAACAATTTTTGCACAAAATGCTGATAGAGCAACACATATACCTATAGAAAAAGTGGTATATATATTTGATAGTAAAACTGCTTTCTGAACTTTTTCCGAAGTAGAATATAAAAAATTCCAAATTTTTTCGAATTTTGGTTAAAACATATCGATTTCTAACTTTTCGATCTGGCAACCCTAGTTTAGTACGAGAAGAATTCCATAATAGTCTATAAAAATTGAAATACGTCAAAGGTAACAAATCTCGTTACACTCGATAATTTTTTTCTAATGATTTTATTCGACTGATAAACAAGCAGAAAAAAATTTATGCATTCTTTTTGAAAGCTATTGTTTGATTGTTGAGAAGCGAGTTTGTATTCAGACCTTGCTATCCTATCGAACAATCAAATAATGCTTGTAGAAAAACTATACATAGATTTTTGTTTAAGCATATGACTAGTAAAACCTTGAAAAAATATCGAGTCTGTTGGTACTTAATCATTTTATGATGTTTTTTTTGCAAATATAGTTTTTGCGACAATAACATTGATCAAGTCTATTAACAACAGAATACTTTCACAAGTAACTCAATAGACGCTATAATTTTTGCTTTTTAACTAGTAAAAAATATTTCATTGAATAATTATCTTACTTGAATAATATTGTAAAATTAATATTAATTTTCATTCGATTTCTCTTATATACCATTCCAATTAAATACTAATTATATATGTTAATATTTTGTTCTTTATAACAATATTGTCATCTAATACATACTCATTTTAATAGTTGTATGGAATAATAAATCAAGTAATGGACTATTAATCATATGTTGATGATAAAAATAATAATAATGAAGAAATCTAACGATGTTGTTGTTTAATTATTAGTTAAATTAATTGTACACATGGATTTATCAACATTATTCATTAAACATAAAATTCTCCAAATCACTAAAAACATTATTATATATACATTTTTTAATCTTTTTTCTTTATTGATTAATACATACTTGTACATGAATAACAAATTGTTGATCTTGATGTGTATAGAATAGATATGTCGATATAAATAAATTTTTATTCACAAGAAGAATATATCTTGTTTCATTCTTTTCTGTTGTAATAAATCCACCTAACAAAGAAAGATTTTTTCAAACTTCTGTAATGGATTATTTTGATCTAAAATTTTGTTGATATTTAGATATGTTCATCCTAAAAGAATATTATTGTAAAAATTTAAGTGTTTAAAAACTTCCATTGTTTTGTTTTTTTCGACAGTCTATCAAATTGAATCAACAGTTTTTAACATTAAGTATGTCTACTTAAGTAATAGTTCGTCTAATGTAATATATTTTGTATTTTATCATAACAAATAAAATAATTATACATAAATGTTGTTATTGATTATCATTAAAAAAAATAAACAAAACAATTTCATTTTCATTCCAAATGAGATACAATCTAAAAAAATTCATAAATAAATCATTACGTATGTTAATGTTAACAAGAGAGAAAGGAAAGAAAAAAGAAATATATGTGAAGAGAGGAATTTACTTTTTTTTTTTGTCTTTCTCTCGTCCATAAATCATTGTTCATGTTGGTATCATTAACGATGAATGGTCAACATATACAATTAAATATGTATATCATTTTCGACGAGAGAAAAAAATGATTTTTCTAGGGTATATATACGAATGATTTTCTATGTAAAATCATTCAAATTTTTGAATCAAATAATAATCATTTTTCTTTTCTGTTTTAGATTGGCTTCAACCAAACAATATGGGACAATTCAACAACAAACCAGACAATAAAATCTTTTTTTTTTCTTTATTTTTATTTTACGATCATAAGGATGGTGGGGTAAGGCCTCCTTTGATCTTTTTATTATTTTTTATTTTATTTTAGGGAATAAACAATGAAGAAAAAGATAACATTAGGGTAAGTCATCTCATTCTATTTCATTAAATAACATTGATTAAATTTTTTTTTCTGTCCCTTTCAGCTATCAATATCATCGCGTCATTAACATCAGACACGGTAAGTAATTCTTTTTTTTTTTTAGATGAGAATAGGTAGTGAGATTGAGGGGTTAGGGTGAGACTAAGAAAAGTGAGTGTTAGTAGAGAGTGGGTGAGTTATATTCGTTTAGGTTAGGTTTTTCTTATTTACAGGATTTCCGGGTAGTCCCTAAAAGCTCGGCCAGGAATCATCTTGGTGTCCGTGGCACACGACCAGGCTTATTCAGCCTCATTGACATATCTCTCACGGGGAGGGTATGAATGATATGAGTCTGTCCTGTGCGTGCATGAGCGTTACGCTCGCCACGACTCCACCAGGATGGTTCCTGGTCGCGCGCGCGAATAGAATAAGCTATTCATTTCATCAATTCAATGCGACTTATTTGAAACGAAAGGAGCGCAAAAAGAATCTATCACGACGAGTCTATTCGATTAAAAAGCGTTGAACACGATTATTACCACGATCAGCGACATACAGATTGCCATGTCTATCGAAGGACAAACCGGTCGGATTGTAGAACTGATTTGCTCCTTCTCCTTGACCATTTCCACCCACAATGACAGTGCCTTGTTTCTCTCCTTTAGGCCAACGCATCACTCGATGATTCGACGAGTCTGCCACATAGATGGTACCCAATGTATCGACGAACAGTCCTTGAGGAGACGACATTTGTGTCAGAGCATTCCCTTGGCCTTGACCTCCAGCGACCGGAATTCCTTCTTTTGCACCTTTATTCCATTTCATTACACGGTGATTGTGGTAGTCTGACACGTAGACAGTCTGTTGTTGATTGACAAAGATGTAGTTCGGCCAGCTGAGTTGATTGAGACCATCACCTCTGCCATTGCCACCAGCCACAATAGTTCCATTCTTGTCTCCTATTTGATATCGTCTTACTTCATGTTTGTCGTAGTCAGAGATGTAGAGATATCTCTGATCATCCATGGCCAATCCCCGACAACTAATGTTGTCGATGAGGATTTCTCCTCGCGTTGTACCACTACGACGAGACCATCGTACGACTCGCCAATTATGTTGATCACAAATAATGAGACTATCCGTCTCTTTGTCGATCAACACATCGCTTGGATGACACAATCGATCCAATGGACTTTCTTGCCCATTGCTACCAGCTACTACTTGTCCATTCGCATCACCCATCTTCCATTGGATGATACGATGATTGTGGAAGTCAGTGATGACTATCGTTTGATCATCATCAACGAAGAGACCAAACGGATGGTCGAGTTGGTTGGCAGCACTGCCTTGTCCATGACCTCCAGCAACAGTCACACCATTCTGTTTCCATCGGGCATCGGCTGGAATATTTGGAATTACTAAAATGAAAAAAAAAGAGAAGAAATCGTCGTCGTCGAAGGGATCCCATCTCTCGTGGGAGCAAGTGCTACAAATACGACATTCGTCTTTGAGAATGCTCATTCCACAGATAAAACTTCAGAAGTCTTTTCCTAGTTTTCTATGAGAAAAAAGGATTTGGTAACGATTCTTACATCTATGTTATTTCTAGTTCTTGCCAAGGTGTTTTTGATCATAAAAATAACACCTGGAGATTGCTGTAAGGAGGTTCTCCAAGAAAGAGTAATACTAATTCCATGTAAGTTTTTGATAGAAATACATAAGGATCTGAGGATTTTTTTCAGAATTGCAAGAATTCAGAATCTTTTTAGCAGAATGATCATTTATATGAACATCAGAGAAGATTCTATCTGTATCTTGTGAGAAGAATATCGAATCGTTGAACAATAAAATATCAAACCTAATCCCTATGTTTTTTAGGAAACCTTAAGGATGCATGATTTTCTGTATGATGAATGTAGATCTGCCGAAGAATCTCCTAAGTATTTACATAGAGAATGCCGGTGAAATTTTATAAGGCTTTTGGTAAGTTATGTGAAGCTGTTCGAAGAACAACCGTAATGTACTCTGAGTAAGATCATGAGAAGGCTTGGATACAGACGAAACTGAATAAAGTTGATAGGATTCCACGCGAATCTATGTAATCTGAGAGGGCTTCTACTTTTGCAAATGCTGAAAAGATGGATGCCAATTCGAACGGAGCTCTCCAGTGACAAACATTGGGATCTATGGATTTTATGGGCTTTGAAAAGAAAGTGTTCTAAAATGCTATTTTTAACTTTTGATGAACACCATCTTCAAACCATTGTATTAGGATCCTCGAAGAGAATCATGATGACTAAATAAGATACTCTGTCAAAATCGAAAAATAATGAGTATCTTCTATGAGGATCATGCTGTAATCCTTATATAGTACTTGTTCTGAGAAGTCTTCTGTAAGCTCGCATGTGATGGATATGTTCAGGAGAATCTGAAGAGTAAGTATTTTGAAATGGTTGATATCAGAGATGGGCAATTCCAACTCCAAAGTTGATGCTTTTTCTCATCAGAGTGAAAATGGAGTAGGAACAGGAGAGAAGGCAGGTGCCGATGTTTAAATTTTATGAGAAAGTTTATAAAGTAATAAATTAATATGCTACTAATTTATATCAATCGTAGATTTAATTATGTTCAAAAACTTATGTGTATTTAAGAGACGGTCCACGAGTCGATCGAGAATTTTTCAATAGAGCCATACTCTCAAAAATTTTGACCCCTATATTTTATGATTGGAAATGAAAGAGCAAAGTGAGAAACCTATAAATCCAAAATTTTAGCTCATTCTGACTTACCTTTGAAAAGTTATGAAGGACACACTGAATGCACCCTCAATAGGTTTTGAAAAATATTTTTATTTTTCTTGCAAAACTTCGTATGTCAGTATTTGGTCATTATCTCCACAGTAAATTATCATAATCTTTTTGAGTAATATACCGTTTGATAGAGCAAAGTTCGCTCTACAAAACTGTATATATCACCTTCTCCTTACTCTCTACTTTGTGAGTACAACAGTCTCAAAATTAGATCGACCCTACTGTTTTCTATCCCATTCTTGCTTGTTCTCTTTCTCATTGCAAGCTGTATTTCTCTGTTAATTCTAACGGGACCAGAGGTTTCTTTACGGTTTTCGATAGAACGAAGAAAGAGCTATCCAATGAGTATAAAATGATTGAAATCCAATTAGCAACAAGGCTTCATCTAAGCTATACAAGATATTCTACTACCGTATTCATCATCGCATTTTTCGACATTTTTCTAAAGGGATTGAGTCGATGATTCACTTTGATCTCGACTATTGCAATACATCCCACCTTCATTTTTTCAGCATAACTAGATGTTAGAATGCCCTCGAAAACTACTCGAACCTGGTCTTTTTCAAAGCTTGCCAAATGTATTTTGGTAATACTACACCGATCCCGATAGGTCATTTCCATAGGGACTGGCAAGATGATTCACTTGGATCTCGACTATTGCAATATATCCCACCTCCATTTTTTCAGCATAACTAGATGTTAGAATGCCCTTGCAAACTACCCGAGCATGACCTTTTGGAAAGCTTGCCAAATGTATTTTGGTAATATCACACTGATCTCGATAAGTCATTACCATAGGGACTCGCAAGGTGGTTCACTAGAATCTCGACTATTACAATACATCCCACGTTCATTCTTTCAGCATAACTAGATGTTAGAATGCCCTT